GGCGAGACGGATGTACAATCAGACAGTTACTGGTACCATCAGAATTGGAACTCTTCGCTTGCTACTGAAGATGAGGAGCAGCGCTTATCGGAGTGTCCCGAGTGATGTCGATTCTCAATTTAAAATTCAGTATTTAATTCTTTATTTATTACAAAATATTTGTTTATAATGTTCCTCTTTAATTAGCCTGGAAAATGTCATGACCAGTGGCATAATCGACATAGGGTCTTCATTTCAGTAGTACCAACTTCGACAGCCCTGTTCTCCAGTTTCCTCTATAAATAAACTGCGGTCTGCATAAACGGGCCCACTGCGCATTCATTGGTCGGTTTTTATCCAATGAGACGGCCATTTTTGGCGAACACAATGGCGCCAATGTGTGAACGGGGCAGAGAGTGACAACAAGACTTTCTGCGCCCAAATCTTCCAGCCATTATCTCTTGACTCAAGGTGAGGCTGAGAATAAGCCACGTTTAGCTAAAATGTGTCGGTATTTTGTGGGTTAAACTTACCTTTTGATACACTTCAGTTTTAGACGATGTTTACGCCTGAGGTGGGTGAAAATCGCGCGCACAGAGACCTTTCATTATCATCATTGTCATTATCATTATATGATGGAAGTTGGGTAGAAAATATACTGAATTCATTTGATAAAAAAAAGGATACACTTTTGGACTTGAAGTTTGTGCTGCTTCATACACATCATAAATTGTACAATTTACTTGTTAATGCATAGCTATCTTAATTTTATTTTAAAAATAAAAAAACAAAAGTAATTTGTACTACAAAAGTTCTCGACTACAAACAGCTGCCATATTTGTTTCACGTTTTCTTTTAAAATCGAAAGGCTGTGATTATTTGAAGAAAGAAAAGACCATCTGTGAAGGTGTTGAACAGAGATTACATGACGTAATGCTAAGCTGTTTAAAATACTTCTTCGGAGGGTAGATCGGTTTATACAAATGTCACTGATGATGTATCATATCAATCTTCCCGCTGTAGTAGAACTGAAAAATAGGGAAGATGACGACCAATCACCCACTACTCAAATCACCTATTTCATCTGATTATTACTACACTACTGATTCGATTTCTCAATTAGTTAAACAGTTAGCATCTACACCTTACAACATTGAACATTAGCTGCGGGAGATGGAACATCTATGGGTATGCCCGGTGTGCTATGATGTTGATTCTCAAATCAGTATTCATTCACCTAGTTCATCAAAATTGAAGCTACACCCATTTTCTTTGTTTACATAAATGACTTTTTGACTTAGCAGGGAAAACCTTTGTGCTTACACTGGCTGTTAACTCGTTTGGGGGGGGGGGGGGTCATTGTTATAGTTCTTTTCTATACTTTGGTCTTGTTTCCTAACTTGAGTTATGTGTACAAATCGGCCATCCTCCGAATAACAGGCACATATTATGGTGGCTAAAAACAGGGCCTCTTGTCACATGTAAATTGCGAACTTCCGAGCAACTTAATTTTGCGTCGTGGGAATACTCTCTGCGGCTGCAGTAGTCCCCGCAAGTGCGCAATTGACATGTGACTGAGGCCCTGTTAGGGTGTTTTTGCGGCCGAAATAATAATGTGCCCTTTATTCGGAGGATAGCCTGCACATCTGTTTTACAAGTGGGTTTTTGTGTGTGTGTGTGTGGAGTCGGTTGTTTTCTTGCCTTTCATGTTTCATGTGGAACATTCCGACTTCTCAGGAATCGTGGATCCTTTACTTAAATTTTTTTTGTGTTACTTGCATGAGGATCTGTAAAACCATCCATGAGCCTGCTGGCACTCGATAGCAGGTATGATGTACCCCTGCTAGGCACAGCACACCAGCCTTAACTGCACCACTCAAGCAAACTGAGATTTGAATAATCAATCAAGGAAAGACATTGTATGTGTGTAAAAACCTGACGTTGTGGTAAAGAAAGGTATCAGAATGTCCACACTGAGTACACTAAGTCGTTTGACCATACCTGAGGCGGCACCCACAGCTAGTACCATTTTTGTATGGTGGCGAAGTGGTCAAGCCATTTTGCATTGTGATCTGAAGGTCATGGGTTAGTTTCACGGCTGCATTGTTCAGTACATGAGAGCACTTTTTAACGGAGATACCTGGGGGGCTGGAGCTATGGAGTTTGTGCTTTGTGTAATGCTTTCGGCAGGCGGCTAGACCTTCTGTGAAAGGGACGGAGCCATATGGGATCAAACCCGGTGCAATGCAGTTGATCCTCTCAACTTTAACCTTTAACAATCGATGCTTTCAGGTGTATTGGGCATACGTGGCTGGACCTACATTTTAATAGACCAATCAGCACTCAGTGGGTGATTGGGTCGACATCACACCAGTCGTCTTTACTTTCCAGGAAGTACATTATACCAATTTAAGACTAGGTCAAACTGGCAGCCAAGGTCATTTTTGGAAGAAAAAAGTCTGACAGGACCTGAACCCATGACCTTCTTATCTGTAGGCAAGTGTCTAGCCGCTACACCATTGTTGTTTTAGACCCATGGTGTCTCTCATTCTGTGAGGTAGGTGTGTGTTGCTAGCCCCAAGGGATCACTGGGAACTTGCCTAAGGGCCCTATGCTAATCTCTATTATTATTTCAAATGATCTGCTATAAACAAACATGTCTGTACTGTGATTGGTTGTCATAGGGGCCAATTATACTGTTAAGATGGCTCTGATTAGCCCTGTATTGTTTAGACTGAGCAGTGTATTGTTTAGACTGAGAAGTGTATTGTTCAGACTGAGCAGTGTATTGCTTAGACTGAGAAGTGTATTGTTCAGATTGAGCAGTGTATTGTTTAGACTGATCAGTGTATTGTTCAGACTGATCAGTGTATTGTTTAGACTGAGCAGTGTATTGTTTAGACTGAGCAGTGTATTGTTTAGACTGAGCAGTGTATTGTTCAGACTGAGCAGTGTATTGCTTAGACTGCTTTGTGGTCATCATCAAGCCTATCACCTTTACTTCCCGTGGAATTTCCTAGTAGAAATTGTGGGCTTCAGGGTTCAACTCTTGCTCGTGTCTTCAGTCTGGTGTACTATAACGTGATTTAACACAACAATCTTGAATCTGGCTCGTAACATTCTTTTTTAATACGCCTCATAACATTTTTTTTTAATGTGGCTCTTAACAGTCATTTTGAATATGGCTCGTAACAGTTCATCTTGAATATAGCTCGTAAGTCATTTTGAATATGGTTCGTAACAGTCATTGTGAATTTGGCTCGGCTATGTTTTAGTTGACCCACTTCCTAACAACATAAGCACATGAACCCCTCACCTGCCAAGAAACCTCTGGATAATTTCTTAGTTTCATCATGTAGTTTTGTGTGTGTGTGTGGTGGTAAACACTTCATAATATAAACATTTTTGTTTTTTCATTCAGAAAATGGCTGAAAGAGATGAGTACCGCTCGAAGCTGCGAACACCAAAGAAGGAAGTAAAAACAGAACCGCTTCTATGGGCGCGTTTATCTCCAGCATTTGATCACGCGCCTACATTTAGCTATTCCCACTTTTTAAATACACCCAGCCCTGCAAAAACCAGAGCTCCTGCTGTCGCCTTTGAACAAACCTCCTCGTTCAGCCCTCACAAGTCGGGTTATTTCTTGCGGACGCCCAGCCCTTTCAAGCAGAATCCGAAAAGCCCACTAAAGGTTGGATCTGGTGTCAAACAGGAGGTGTCCTCTACCCCAAGCCCACATAAAACCTATCCTGGCACAGATCTTTTTGGAAATAGATCACTATTGGACAATCTTCCCATGCCAGAGTGGGATGAACATTTTTTGGACAATTTTCAAGAGGACTTACTTTTTGGCATCGGGAGTGAGGACATTGAGGGGCTGGGTCGCAGTCCTCTGAAGAGTCCCAAAAGAGGTCACACGTTTCTTAGCAGCAGCCCTTTTAAAAGTTCTCCTGGGGTCAGTCCATTTAAAAGTCCGCTACTGACCTCCAGTCCTAAGCTTCCCGTTGATAGTCCTAGTAATTTTCTCAAGACTCCGGATCTTGCTAATGGAAGACCCTTAACGAGGCAGAGAAAACTGTTTCTGCAGAGTCCAGAGCGGCAGTTGCCCTCTGTTTCTGGGACTAATAACTGGCCCAGGTCTCTGCCTTTTTCATCTCTGGATGAAACATCATCGTCCATGTACAGTGATGGCCATGAAACCACAACATCCATACAGAGCATTTCTACCTATCTCAGGAATTTCGATGAAGGAGATCAAGAGGAGGACTACACAGTGATGCCCCCTGTTGGCTGGGAGACACAGAGCATTTCTGACTTTTCTGAGAACAAATTCCAAGGGAAGGGAAAGAAAAAGAGTTTAAAGTTCAGAAGCTGTGAAGTGACGAGTGCTGTTCAGAAAGTTCATAGTTCAACTTTAACTTCCATGCCGACAGCTACCTGTTCTGCAAGTGCAAAGAAAATGAAATCGGAGCCGCAGTTTACTCTGCTTCGACCTCACACAGAGCTTCATAACAACCAGATTTGCCTACGTCTCACGACGGGCACCCCACCAAACAAGATCAAGATTTCCAGAGACTTCTCACAGATTCAGACCCTTCCCTCCAAAGAACAGTTACGTATTGTCCGCAACAGATTCCGCGAGACTTTGAACAAAGCTGTGGAACAAGTCATAGAGAAGGAGAAAGCCAAGAAATCAAGAGATCAAGGAAAGGTCACAGATCCGGCTTTGAGAAATGCACTGCAAAGACCAGCCTTGATGCAGGCAACAGCTCTTGCCCCAGCGACTACCTCAGGTGTTTGGAGTAATCAGAGCGCTCGAAAGCCGCAGAAGAGAAAACGGTGCATGACTTAATATGCAAGATCTTGTAAATATGTTTGTGATATAACCCGCACTTAGTTCAGAACAACTGAGGGCGTGTTGCAGGGCCTATACATTCATTAAGTTGTTGATTCTATGGTCAGAACTATTTTAAACTATGCCGATGCTCAAGTACCACCGAAGACCTGAATACAGAATTTGGCTGAATAGACTGGCTTCAAAATAATCTAAATGTGGTAATCCTTGCGCCCTGAGAACTCTAAGAAAAATAGGTCATAGGTTTCTTAGAATTCCTTTAAAAAAAATTGTGTGCACAAGTCACTAATAAAAATTAATTTATTACAATTTTAAAATTATTTTTCGAAAATACTTAAAGATAAATAAAAAGAGTCATCAGTAACCATGAACGGGGTGAATTATTAAATTGGGGTACCAAAAACATGTACCCACTGTGTGACCTGTGACCTTTATCATTGAGGCTTTTGAGAAAATCTGGCTCCATTTAGCACAAAGGAAAACTTCTCAATGTTACTGTTAGTTAATTCATTTATATCTTGACAGCCTAAACGTTTTCGCAGGCACAAACACAGCCAATTACATTTACTATACATCTGGTACAATAGGCAAGTCAGAAAAGTGACATTTACAGGGGACTGAAACTGGCTAAAAGTGTTGGGGGGTTAAAGGGCTGTCGTGGTGATGAAATACCTTTCACTCTGGGATACAATTTATTTTGTGTCTTTCTTAACAAAATTTTTAATGAAAGTGTATGAAACGCAAACAACAAATGTAAACTTCATGATATGGTTTGACAAGGGATTTATTAGATCTGTTCCTGCTGTGTTGAAAGCTGTGGCACAAATTTAGAATTACCAGCCTGATTGCTGGAGTAAGAAAAAATCCAGTTATAAAATAACTTTTTTGTCTTTGCGCTCACAGGTTGAAACTCCAGGGGAAAGTTCTGGTTGTTTGTCCACCTCTGGACTTAAATCCTATTCCAGATCCTGACCTTTGCATGCGCATCCATTTTACAGATCTAACTTATGTGAATGCAGATTCTTGGGTCCTTGCCTCTGGCAGATGCACTCTTGACTTTAAAGGAAGCTCCCAGTTAGTTGACTCTTACGACATGCCTCTGGGGAGGCAGTGGGTCTGTTCTTGTTGTCCCCACAGTGGGGCCCCGAAACACACACAGGGATAAAATAACGTTAAGATTTCCTCCTAACAGAAGATTTTTGTGGGATAATTGAAGATTATAATCCTTCGATACAACCACTGAAGCGCTTCTATATATTTTTCTAAAAGTGTCTGTCTAAGCTTGTTATTTGCAACACATGTTGAGGCGAAGAGGGTGGAAAGATTATGTAGTAATTTTAGCACCTACCTCGTGGGCCACCTAAAATTGATTTTGATTGGTAGGCCAGTTTTTGGCCAGCAAGCCATAGTTTGCCCACGCCTTGTCTGTCAACTGAGAAGTGTATATAAACTGCAGGGCATTATATTGTGAGGTAAATAGCACTCTGACCACGGCTATAGTCTTTCTGTGTGTACTGTAAATGCACCCTGACCTGTTGGCTGTGGATTTCATTTGGAATGCTTTTCATCTGTGCTCCCAGTATGTGTTTTGAACAGCAGGTTCAGAAAATTGTAAATGGCCTGTTGCCACATAACGTGATGCCTTATGCAATCAATTGCATGTGCAACTAGTGTTCTAAGCACTGTTTCCCCGTTGTTAATTTGAATAAAAAAATACAGACTTCACAGTTCATTGCCTGGCATATTTCGCTGCATCTCGTCAGTTGCATACTACACACATTTTACCCTAGGCCCTGAACTTTGTAAACAAAAAGACATGATTCTGACACTGCAGCAGCCTTGGTCAAACAGGCAGTTGTTTTTGATTGTTGTTGAATTTGTGCTTCATTTATAAAGGATTAATTTATTTGCTTCACTGTAGTATGCACCTGACAATAGACTAACAAAATATGCCAGGCAATAAATTGTACATTTTGTTGCTAGTGTCAACTACCGATCTGTTGTAAGTGCTGCTGTTGATGATGAACTGCATGTCTAGCGTCGGATTGTTTGTGTTGGCTCTTCAGTTGGCTGGTTCATGCATTTATTGCGTATGCATGCTATTGGATTTGTTGAACCTGCAGTTTTGTGTCAGCCGGTTTTCCCACAAGAGACACTAATGGGACATTCTGTGGTTTTGGTTAGCACAGCAACAATGGGGTAATGATCCGTTTGCTGCGATGTTGGAACTCGGATTACACATCCTGATATTTTGTGTTGTTGTATACATTCTTATCAAAGTAGACCACATAAGAACGGGTAAGTACGACAAAACTACAGTTGAGCATATTAAAATTGTTTCAGAAATTTGTGAGCTTCCTTGGACTGGAAAAATTACATCACAAGCTAAATTAACTTCTTGCTTTCGTAATGCAACTGTTCCCTTTTGTTGTTGTGTATAAGCGGTGTATTTATTTATTTTCTGCCTGCTCCCTGTACATATTTGTTTTTCTGTAGATCTTTTACCAGACTTTGCGTTGACCGATTTTTATTTGGTTTGCTTTTTGTTGATTCATGTTTTTTGATTGTATGTATATTATTTGTTTTGTTAATTCATTTAAGAATGTAACTTGTTTCATGGCTAACTATGATCTGACTAGTTCTGTATTTAGGGTGTTTCATGTTTT